CTGGCTGTATGGATGACAAATAAACACAGGGCTCACATGCTCATAAGAGAAAAGTTTGGGTTTGGCTGACGAAACTTCCTGTGTCACACTTCCCAAGGACTTGATCTCGTACACTAACGGATGTGTCACACTGAACAAATCCTCAAAGGGTCTCTGGCATGTACATGTCGTTCCCTATTTTTTGAAGAATGTTCAAGCAGGACTACATTTTAGTGAAACATTATGTCTTTTTAGAAAACTTTTGTTGACTTGCATGGGTGCAATAAAACATCTGGGCTGCAAAATACAGCGTATTTAATTTGACCTCCCTGTGTAAGTTTTGGAGGGCTAGAGCACAGCATTATGCCTTGTATGTTTGCTCAGCACTCCCACTTGTAAGGTTCTGGTTTCAACTGATTCTTATGTGCCAGGTTTTAACCATTTGCCCTTGGCGTTTCCATGGCATGTTTCCCCTGTGAGCGTCAGTATTAGGCTGAATGAAGCTTTCCAGAAACAGCAAGAATGATTCAGCTTTCTAAGATAGGAAGGGGAAAAATATTAGTGTCCAGAAAATTCTTCATAGCCTTTTCAGTGAGCAGTTCTTAATTATTTTTTATTATTCATTATTTCTTATTGTTTTATAATATCATTATTTATCTTTAATCTGACACAGGAGTTGTGGTGTCAACGGTTTCCCTTATTTTTTTCTGATATAGGGGAAAAAGAAACCAAATAAACCAAACGCACATATGTATGCTGACTGGAGACTTGTTAGCTTGTCATCTTAAATTGACATCTGTGGTCGAAGCAGCGGATGCTTTGAAATCTGACGTCTCTGCGTCTGTCCCCATCTCCCCTGAAGTACTCGGGACCACGCGCTTATCTAAAATACCTTTTAATGGCATCCTTGGAAGGGTTATAGAAACTCTAACAAGGCTTCCCTAGGGAGCGACGGCTTTCCCCGCTCCTGGCGAAGGGGTGAGCCCTGTAACCGGCGCCTTCCTCCCGGCGTGTCACACACGCCCGTGCCCACTAGATGTCACCATTGCTCTTCGCCACCTCCAAAGGGAGGCTCTTCAGGCGGGGTCAGCCTGAGCGCCCGTCCCTCGGCCACCCGCGTCCCCATGCCGGCAAACAAGCAGCCGCTGGATCGCAAGGCACACGTAAGCGTTCACACACTGAATTTTCGGGGAACGGGGTATTTCAAAGCCAAGGTCACGCACGCGCTAGTGGTGCATCTGACAGAAATACCCCAGTGCGCTTGCGGAGAGAGTATCGTCAAGTGGCAGGAGTCCCAGAAGTGCTATTGCACTTCCAGAGTTAACTGGAACTGTAATGGCTCAGAGGGAGTGATCCTGCCTATGAATAAAACTGCTACAATCCGTGTCCTCCACTGAGTTCACTATGCCTGAAAACCACAAATGGAAATCACGAACTTGATTGATTCTGTTTTTACCAGAATGACGTGTGATGGTTTCCATGCCAGAAAATTAGTCAGTATTGTTTAATTAACTTACTCTTGCATTTCTTGTTATCTTAGCCCTAATCTTTGACAGAATTTTGTGCTGCCACTGGCTCTAGAGCAGCATGTTAGATTACAGTTCCCAAACTGGAGACGCTTGGATTTAACTTTTTAAGGGTTTGTCTCTTCCATAGGATTCTTGATAACTACATAGATGAGTTCATAGAGTATTGCAGTAAAAAAAATCTGGATTAAAAAAAGAATTAACGATGCAAAATAAAGCATATGTGTTAAATTTAATATTGCCTGTGTATCCTGTGATTTCTCCTTTCTACAGAAGTAGAAATGCAGTGTTTAGATATACAAACACCAAACTGCTTATTTTTACCATGTCAGCACGTTCTTTCGTTTTCAGATGAGATGGTCTTTACATCAGCAGCATTCAACGCTTCTTTTATCTTCATTGAAAAAGATATGATTCGTATTGTGTGATGATGGCTGAATTAATAATTTCTTTGTGGACACTGTTGTAATACTTTGTCTATATAAAAAACAAGCAGCGCTACTGGACAACCTGGGCAGTGTTGTGAGACGGGTCAAAATTGCCAAACTGCTGTTAATGTTGGTGGTCACAATGAGATGTCTTGAAAATGCTTTCCAAAGCGTGCTGCTTTTTTATACCATATTAGGTATTCAGACAGCCACTGATACATGAAACTTTGGCTGAAAATGCAAGCACTCAGCCAACTTGGCCAGATGTTCCACATGGGACATGTAAGAAGTGAGAGAATTAGTGAACATCATATAAGTTAAGGTTTTCTTTGGAATACTGCCTTTTGTTATGTACCATGGCAGACACAGGCCCTAATTCTTCAGGCAGCATTCAACTGCCTTGATTCTAAGAATATTCTTCTTTTTTTTCTCCCTACAGTGATCTTGATTTGCCACCCATCTCCTGTGTTACTTAAAACCCAAACAACAACAACAAAACAACAGAAAAAGAAACGAGACAAAATTATAAGGACAATAGCATCCCTGGCTATGTAGCTGTGATCACGGTAGAGCAATGTAAGACTGGTGCAGAGGCTGGATACTGTTGCCAGCTTGTCTTTAGTTCCTCTTGAAAAAGTAATAGTTGAATATATTTGAAGCAATCCTTGTTGTCTCCACCTGAAATTGATGTACCAAAACTCAGCCTTTGGAATGACTGTGAAAATGCTGGAGCAGAACTTTGCAATTCCTTCTCTATGTGCTTCATGAGGGCAGGAAATAATCTCAAGTAAAACAAGTATTTTCACTGTAAAGAATATGGATTCATAAATGTATTTAGCAAGCCAAATAAGCCAACTTTAACACTGATGTTTTAGGTGTAAATTCACACTAGGGACATATGGTTCACCTAGGTGCTTGCCCTTTGTACTGGCTGTGTCCAAATTTTATATCTTCACAAGTCCCTTACTTAGTGGACAATGGACTTGCCCAGTTTCTATGTCTGCTTACATTCATTTACATTAGAAGTACCTAGTCGTCATCCAGAGGGACCTTGACGCACTTGTGAGGTGGGCTGATGCCAGCCTTACGAAGTTTAACCATGCCAAGTGCAAGGTCCTACACCTGGGTCGGAGCAATCCCAGGCACAGCTACAGGTTGGGCAGAGAAGAGATTCAGAGCAGCCCTGCAGAGAAGGACTTGGGGGTGTTGGTCGATGAGAAAATGAACATGAGCCAGCTTCAGGGTGCACTCGCAGCCTAGAAAGCCAACCGTACCCTGGGCTGCATCAAAAGGACAAGGGCTAAGGGGCTAAAACTTAAACAGGGGAAGTTTAGATTGGATATTAAGAGGAAGTTCTTTCCTGTAAGGGTGGTGAGGCACTGGAATGGGTTGCCCAGGGAAACTGTGAATGCTCCATCCTTGGCGGTGCTCAAGGCCAGGTTGGACAGAGCCTTGGGTGACATGGTTTAGAGTGAGGTGTCCCTGCCCATGGCAGAGGGGTTGGAACTAGATGATCTCAAGGTCCTTTCAAATCCTAACTATTCTATAATTCTAGATGTCTAAAGCTCTGTTTTGAGCTATGATATGAACTGCCTCAAATGACACAGTATTGGAAATGTGCATCTTTTAAGGATTCTGTTAAAAATTTGGGATTTCTCTGCCTGTCTCAGCTTCTGTGCTTTGCCTTCTGTTGTTCTTAGAGCAATCTATGCAAAATACATGGGAGAGAAAAGCAAAGCCTGCTTTCTGTTCAGCTGTTCAGTGGCTGCGATACTGGCTCAGGAAAACTGGATTTGGGTGTTATTAAATGGGTTTAGACCTGTGTGTCGGAAGAATGTTGCTAAGCTATAGCTCTCTGAGTTGCAGCCATGCTGACTTCCCTTTGTTTGCCACAAAATACAGTGGGTTTCCTGCTTATTATGCTGGGCTTTTTTTGACTCCTATTCCAAAGCATTCACATTTCTTCACATAGCAGCATAAGGAACGCAGCAGCACTTTGCAGGGATGACCAAGTACCCCAGTACTTACAGTCACAATGGCTTGCTCGCTATCACTAAACTCATATCCATAGCTTAACCTGCCCAAATTCAAGACTGTCTAGCTGAAAACTGAAAACTAGTGGCCTCACTTTTCCTGATTTTTCTGAAGTTTCTTTCCTGAGCATTGCAAAGAAAACGGTGAGGGCTCTTAAAGGCTTTCAAAGCATCAGAGAGCACTGGGGGGGAGTGTTGATTTCCCGCTGGCTTGTGCAGAGAATTTCCCATGCCTCGGATTCCAAAATGCTAACTGGAAACAACACACCCTCACACAAGGGAAGGCAGAAAAAGAGGAATATTTGTTATTCTTCTCCACATATGCAAATCTAGAAAAATCAGCTGGAGAGATGAGTGCTCTTATAATAGGTGTAGTAACCCAAAATGTTTTTAAGGTATTTCATGTTCTGCTTTTTCTACTTTCAAATCCTAATCTTAGGTGATACAAGTCTAATTCACACTTTGCAGCAAAGATTTATTTTCATTTTCTTCCCAGTGTTTCTTCACTTGCTTTTTCTGGGCCTAATTGCATTTGTTACTGCTGAGTTGCATGCAGCCTCTGCAGCTGTTTTTTCTCCTGTGTACTTGTGATCTTCTTAGCATTTATTTATCAAATCCCTGGGAATCCTGAAAAAGGGACAAAAATTGAAATACAAGAGGTGGTTTAAGGCTAAAATCTGGTGTCCAAATTCTGCAAATCTGCATCTCCCAGACCACAGAAGTAACCAGGCTAAAAACTTCTTCCACAGTTTCTCTTAAAACGTATGTTCTCTCACACTTAAACCACAGGAAAATCTCTGTACCATAGTAGCAATAGAGCCACAGCCAGGAACCCAAATGAAAAAACACCCCAATTTGCAGTTATGAGTAATCTTGTTTGGATATATTTTTTCCCCTGCCCCACCCTCTCCTCCCCTCCCGTTTGCTTTCAGACAAAATGCAGGACAACTTTGCAAAGCTGAAGCAAAATCTAAGTTTTCTGTTTGAGAAAGATGTAATGAGTTGTTTTGCAAAAAAATGGCTTTATTTTCTCAGCCCATGCACTCCATAGATTCTGGTCTTAAAGGATAACATATTTTGGGATTTCTTATTTTTAAAGAAAATATTAATACTGAAAAAAAAAACCAAAACAACCCAGCAACCCACCATGATAAAATTCCCTTTCATTTTACATACAAAACACTGCACTAAGCTGCTTATCACTTGAATCAAGGTGTGTTTGCCTTTTTGCTTCAGTGGAAGCATCTATATTGAGGTTGCTTTATGCTGTTATTATGGAGGTTTGCATGTTTAACTGCTGCTTGCTGCATTAAGGATGTATATAAAACGAGTAATTCGAAGAATATGAAGATATAGCTGCAGCATGTACAGGTTTGCATGCATATTGTATATTTGATAAGTTAACTCCTGCTTAAGACACAAGTGGGTCAACTATTGTGAAGCTGCCAACAGTCTGAAGCAACAATTCAAGGTTCCCATTCTGCTGTTCTTCACTCCTGTGGAATGCTTTTGGGAAAATCTTGTACATAGTTCAACTGACTTATGTAGTTTCTGTTGGATCTTGTCTGTGCCTCATTTACCCATGTGTCTGGATGTCAAAGAAATGTGAATGGAAGATTAGCATTCAATTAACCTTAACACATTTTTTTTTTCCTTAAGTACTTCTTCATCCAAATAATGCTTAACTTACTTTGACTACATATTTTTACATTCAAAAACTGGGATGCAATTCAGCACCAGGCAGTTTGAGGAGTGTTGATGGTTTTCAAGATTGTGTGATGTTGAGGTTTTCAAGATTGTCTGGTTATTCTTAAACTGTTTAAGAAAAAAAAAAGAAAGTACAGAAACATTCTTGAGCATGTATTCCATTTCCAGGGGAAGGGGGGGGAAAAAAGATGAAATCTATTATTTAAGAAAGAAATACAGCCAGTGTGATAAAAGTGTCTTCCCACGTCTTCTGGCCAGGTGCTGCGTGCATATAAATGTTTCACGTTAAGCTTAAAGATCAAGGAGAAGTCTGTGGGGAACCTTATTTCCTGGAGATCTGCTTGCTAGAGTAGCTCTCAAGTACTGACTTCCCATTTTTTATTTGGTTATTAAGGATGAAAGGCTACATCATTTTCTGGAATAGCTGTTCCTTGCATGTTATTATCTTTGTCCACAGCTATGAAACATGCACTTCCACAGGTACATGTGGATACTTAGCCTAACTCAGCCTCTCTTTCTGCTGCTTTATGTAAATTTAATTCAAAGGATCACCTTTCTATTGTATTGTAGAGCAAACAAAAGATACATAGGTTAATTAGCTGAGAAACTGGGGTTTTCGTAGGTACAGGAGAGTATAATGGGTCTTCAGCCTATGTAAGAAAGGGCACACTCTGTTACCACTGAAAAGGAGACTTTAAAAGTCTAATTTTCTGACAGGTTTCACTCTTGACGATGTGTGTATGTATATGCAGCTTTACATAATCAAATCTCTAGCATGAAGTTTTGCACACTATCAAATGTTTAGAGAACCAGTAGAAAAATGTGATTGAAAACCATTTATATTCAGTTTGCATCAGAAAATTATGCACAGGATTAGAAGTTCCAGCACTTATTTATTTATCACAGCTACCCTGCATAAATATCCCTTCCACAAAGTCAAGGCTGGCTCTTTAAAAAAGACTAGCATGATTAACACGGATGTTTGAAATATCTAATAAGCTTAGCAAATAATTTTTTTTTTGCTCGGAAAAAATCCTGGTTTCTTTATTGTATTTTGTTACTTAGCTAGTTCATAGCTGGTGAATGCTATCAACCTGAACATTTCTGAAGCATTAAACAGTTCTTTCTAAAAAAATGTAATAATTCAAGCTATAAAATTCTTGCAAAATATTATTACCGATGTAATAATTCTGTCAATGTAAATGACAGAAGCAATGTTCAATCAAATGTAACATATCACTGCGAGATGGTAAATAGTAACAGCCTTCATACAGAGGTATCAAGGAAAGCACAAGAGCTGCAGCAATTTAGAATGAAACAAAGTCCTGCAAAAAACCAAATAAATCCTGGTAATTTACTAAGGTTAAGAGTAAGTACAGGTGTGGGTGTTTTTCCTTTCTCACGGGTGAAGGATCCAACCTATAGATCTTTTTCGTCCTCTGACCTGCTGCTTCTCTCGCTCTTTAATGTATTTGAAGGTACTTTTGATTCATCAGGATGCCTGAAAACAGGTGTCACGGAGTTGCTTGGGAAGAAGCTAATAATGGCAATCTACTGTCTGGAGAGTTTCTGCTCATGTGTTTCGCTAACATGACACACATATCAAATATAAACTTAACAAGGACTGATCTATATTCCGTACCTTTCAGATGCTGTTACTGAATCTATTTCCCACTGGCTCTAGTGAAGAGTAATTGTGTTGCTTAAAACCAGACACATGGTTGGTATTGTGTAGAAAAGGGAAACTTATTTTTATCTATTTCCACGCGTTGTTTGTGGGACCAAGAAGCCTGTACGTGTGTACATATTTACACACACACCCCAAAAATGTATGTCTGAGTACATCTATATGCAGAATAGATACTTCTAACTCTTCTAACATGTATGATGTATAAATGCTACTATCTTTCTCTGAGAGATACAAGCTGAGTTCTAATATATGTACCCTTTTAAACACCAAGAACATGTTAAGGAAAGAAAGGAACATTTATTTGGAAGTAAACATAAATGGTAAAGCAGAAGACCAAACAGTTTCTATTTTCACATTAAATTCACTTTAGCTTTGATTATCTTTCTTATTTACTGTCTCCAAACCTTCCTGTGGTTGTGTCTTTTTAGCAGTTTCATAGAAAGGGTAATCCGACTTTCTAAAAATGGAAGGTAACCTTTTGTTCTGTATAAATATGATTAAGAGGAATTTCCACGCAGTTGTATGAAGGGAACAGGAAGAAAAGAGAGCAAGCACCACTCTAATCGTCTTCACAACAAACCCAAGACTAAACCACAAGGCTCTGATAATTTGTTATCTAGTAGTGGTTTATATAATTTGAAATGCTTTTGTGACACTTTCTTTAAAAAGCTGTTTACATCAGATAAAGACTTATTTTTAAAACTTGTTCTTGTTTTACCTTTAACATAATGCAATGTGTGTGGGGAAAATAGCATCAACAACTTTTAAAGCAAAATAAGTAGTTGTTTAAGTTCCTGTGCTGGAAAACCTAAGACTTAGCCAGCTAAAATCAACTAACTATAACCAGCTGTACCAAACCTGTTGTGTTTCTCCAACCACTGTTATTTATGCCACTTTCATAGAAAAGCAAAGGGGCTCCACTTAGAAGTTGCCTTGTGATAAGAACAATAGGAAGGATTTCTAAGCAGTGGAAGATAAAGAAACTATTTCAATTAATTTAGTTTTGACGATAAATGCAGATAAAAGCACAGTGTGCAGGAGAGTAATATCCTTGGCAGAGGAAGGAGATAAATAATTTGCATGGTCCATTGCTCTGTCAGCTTTTCATTGCAGTAGGTGCTGAAGTTCAAACACTGGTTTTTAGAATAATTCAGTTAACGAGTTTCTGAAAACAGTCTAGGAGTACGAGTTGGCTTTGTGTGTGGTGTCAGAAAAGCTAGCAGTCATGAACTAGTCCTATCCTTCCTGTGTTCTACTTTGGTCTCTGTCTCTGATACATTATTTTGATGCAGTAAGCATTCTGTTTACTTTGGTGTTCTGGTAAGTGTTTCATGGCCTGGCATGAACTGAGTATCTGGTGGCAATGCTAGACTAGGCTTCCATAATATGGCTGGTTTTGGTTACAAGGTGCTTGAACTGGTGACTAGTATGAAGGAAAGCCTATGTGCTTATGTTATATCTTTATCTTTTTTTCCTTCCCCTCACACGTATTCTCTTTCTCATTTCCTGGGTTTCTTCTGTTCTGTTCTTTGAGAAGCTTTTCTACTCACTGTGGACATTTAACATTTTCCTTTTTTATTTTTTTTCCCTAGGCTCCTGTTAATTTTAACAGATGCACCAAAGGGAAAGTAAATAGTTTTACTTCTAATAATTCTTTTTTATTAATAAACTCCTCACCTGTTTTACTTGGGTTTAATAATTTGGTTTTGATTCCATCTTCTGTCCATTCTCTCTGTCCCATATTCTATCACTGAATCTTTATTTTCATTTCTATTTCTCCTCTTTCTTAATTTATCTTTATTTTTTCTCATAGCAGGGCTTGGGTTTGGTTTTTGGTGGTGTTCTCCTGTTTGGTTTTTTTTCCTCCACCAAAATCTGACATAGTTCTATTTCTCTTCCTTTGATTCATTCAAGCCTGAAAAAAAAAAAAGTTTTTCTTTTTTAGGCTCAGTAATCCTTCTCAGCTCTCAAGATTATAGAGGAATGAGGTGGAGCCCTGTACTTCTGAGGAAGGATATATAGTTTTTGGCATTTGCCCACTGTGAGGAATGAGGGGAAAAAAAGAAAAACTCCAAAATTAAGAATCCTACAGGAGACCCCTTGAGAGCTGAAAACCACCCTCCCTATGTGAAAAACATGTCATTTACATTGTTTCTAACAGATCACAATTGCTTGTTGATAATGTGAGTGGTTTGGTCTGTTTTAACAATGAATTTCAAAGTGTGTGCTGAAAAGGAAAGTGAAGTTTTAAGAGTAGCACTTAGAAAGTGTACTCTGACGTACACAGATTGACTTCAGCCTGATATGTCTTCATGCTTCCGCTGGAAATCGAAGCACTTGGTCATTAACACAGTGAGTCACAGTAATGTGTTATGACCTGATCTGGCATTTATAAGGACATATAGCGTCTAGCCTTGGATACCTCTTCTACAGGTCATTTGTTCTAGTGATAAAGAGAGTGCTTGCTCCCAGGGGAAAGCAAAGCTGCCCATTATGTCAGCTCACACCCTGGAAAAGGCTGCAGATTTCAGTGCATCTATTTGTGATGTGCTTTCTAAACAGGGTCAGTGTTATAACTGGGAGGATGGAGCAGTTTCAACTGTGAGTGAGTGCTTGGAGAAAAGGTATAGCTGACTCTGTCAAGGATGAATACAAAATGTAGACAAGCTGGCATGTTTTATACTCATTTTAAAAAAATACATATGTAATGATTCAGTGTTTGGATCATTGATTTATGTCAGTCAGATGAAAAGCAAAATTTCTGTGATGTCTTTATCATTATTCTGACAAGAACTGCTTTTAAGTTAAAGACTGGTAAAGAATGCCAACTTTTGACATTACTAGAACAGCTCTATCAGCTTTAATTTTCTTTTGGATTCTTGTTGTTACAGAAAGCCATTAGGGACAAATTATGTTCTCAAAGTGGTTAACATAGTGAGGTACATTTTTTCGCCATAAATTGCCCAACCTGGTTTATAAAGCATTATATGATCTCATTGAGAAGCAAACTGCAGAAATCAGAAATTACAAATATTGAACATCATCAGTCATTAGGCCAGAGGGTTCTCAAACCACTGGAAGACCATGGGTGAGTTGTCCACAGATGAACCGTTGTGTCATATTTAACTGCAATGTATGAACCCATTTGTTCTGTCTGACTGTACTTTTGTGTGCACAGTTCTTTTATCATGCTAGAGACCGCTAGAGTGTGCTCAATTATAAGTCCGTCAGGAAGCATACGGCGGTGCATAGGGAGTATTCAAGGTTGCTGAAAGTTTATTTTTTCCACTAAATTAGGGAGCTAGTGCTCTTGTCATTACAGATCAAAGTTAATTGACCTCATACCATTAGCATCAGTATAGTCACAGCACAGAGTGTATACAGAAAGCTGGAGAATGTAAAACTAGAAAGTTTCATT